AGAACCAAGTGAATTAGAAATGTTATAATATGTAAATGATTTATCAGATAAAAAATAGCAAGGTTTGTGCGCATTTAAGTGCAACATTTCTCACGCAGCAATCAGCAATTTGCAAGCATAATTCAATCAATGCTACGTCTTTAATCTGCAATTTCAATTATGATTGCTGTAACATTAAATTAAAAAAGGGTATCCAGAGCTTTAAAAGGTATCTTTTAAGGTTATTTGGCTTATTTCCAGGCCAATGTGGAATCCAAGGTGTGAACAGCATCCAGATGTGTGAAGGACACTCCCTGCCCATTACTTGTTGCAGCTCTTTGTCAAAGGTTTCCCTATCTTTCCATCTACTTCTATTCTGAGCATGTGTCATGCAGGGCAGGCTGCATTGAAGCCAACATCACTCATATGCCGCTGTGAAGGAAATGGGATCTTTTGAATTCTCAGCAAGGAAACCAGTTTCCCATTCTGCCTCTCTGTGTGTCTGTGTGAACAGACTGATGGGTTAAAGGGTCACACTGCTACTTGTCTTCTTGTCAGAAGATATATAGAGAAACCTGTCAAGGCATCACATTTGACTGTGGCAACAATGGTCCAACCAAAAGGAAGATCATTCTTCTTTATCATCGGCCAAACGGCTCGCTGCACCAGCACTACGAGGGGGACCCAAGTTCCCATCAACAAAAACATGTCGGTTTGCTATCCTGGCTCCAAAATGGTGGAATGAGCTCCCTATTGAAATCAGGACAGCAGATAGCGTGCACATCTTCCGGCGCAGACTGAAAACTCATCTCTTTCGACTCCGCTTCGAGCGATAGAAGCACTAACAAAGAATTGCTAACAAAGCACTTATATACTAATAAAGGACTGGCTTATCTAAAGCCAGTTGAGTAGCACTTGAAATGTTTTGGCTCTATGAAACCTGATGTACTTATATGATTCTGTTTTCTTCAAGTTTGTATCTTGTTGGTCGAATGCACTTATTGTAAGTCGCTTTGGATAAAAGCGTCAGCTAAATGCAATGTAATGTAATGTAATGTTATAAAAGACATTTCTAGCACTTCTTTGCAATATATATATCTTGCTTGTTCAAATTCAGTTATTTCTTTAACTTCTCAACATTAACAGTCATTTCTATCTGTCTGAGATCAGCTGGAGACCTTTTGAAACATTCAAAACCATTACGGATATGTTGCAATGTGATATCATTTGCAGTCAAGACAAATGAGATGAGACATGATAACATGATTGAGAGGGTGAAGGATGTAATACTTCCGAAGAGCAGCCTCGAAGAGCAGTGGAGCAATTTAGTGCACATCATAAAGTAAATATGATAGGAGAGTGGAGAGATAATCGTGAAGAACTGACAGGAAGGACAAAGTTTATGCTTTTATAACCTTATGAGTAGGAGCAGCTCTATGGGCCTGACAACTCTTGTCAAACAATATTTAATTTGATGAAAAATCTTTTTTGACTTGGCATGTTCATAACTTATACTGTACTGCAGCATTTCTTAAGCCCCCTCATCCATCTCCAGACGCCAAACATCTGCACATATCCTACATTCATATGAAGTATAGTCAATATGCAGGTCTCCCTTGAAAAAGAGATCTATGATCAATGGGACCAAGTGGACTAACTGAAACAGAGCTTTATTATAATTATCAATACACAGCAGTATTTGGTCATTCATCAGCAGTATCTAACAGCCTTAGAAACACATTATTTGTGTTATGCAATGGGGGAATAAGTAAAAAATGTAGCTACTGGAATAAATATAAATCACAATTAAAATATAAAAAATATCTTTAAATGCTGCAGTTCAACGGGTTTACCTCTTTTCCAAATTAAATTCGAGAACATTTAGCCAATTGATTAAACAAAATTAGCTAAATATATGAAAGCTATTGACATAAGCGGATAGGTCTTTGTGTTAAGAGCTAAGATGTAATACAACATAATCACATGCAGATAACATTCCCTTTTGATCTGGATGTTTTTTTCATTACAGTGCTTTTTTTTAAAGAAAAATATATCAGTTTGAAAGTGCCTCAAATAAAAATATAAACAGTTACTGAAACAGATGTGTTAAGAAATGATCAAGCAAATATCATTTATTTCCACCCAGTTGATTTGTCAGAGAGAAGGAGGTTTTCTCTTGATGTGGACAGCCTTCCAAAGGAATCCCGTGTCAGTGGGAAAACCTCCTCACTTGTGCGCTTCATTCACCCATGCTTTTCACATCCCTGGCTTTCAGATGTAAATAAGATTAAAATATGGCCCATCCCCCCAAAATCGAGTCTTTCAGAGGAATATCACATCAACATGCAGGTTTTCTGAAGAACCCCTGAGAGAATTTATCAATGTGGTCTGTCATGAGAGTTGAACCTCACCTAAGATTATAGGAGACACACAGAACATGTAATCATGCAGAAGTAGAGGCAAGTCAAGTATATAATCAATATGTATGCTGGTCTGTTAAGCAAGGGAAATGTAACTTACAACCTAAATAGTTTCCCTCCTAGTTGATAGAAATAAGTGAAAACAAGAAATCATAATTAATGAACAGCAAGTGTTGAAACTAAAACCTATTTGAGATTGTCTAAAAGATGATAACAAGTTTCTTATGTTCAGTGGGTCCAATTTGGATTTGTCTGTTAATCTCCAGCAGTTTATCTAGACTGCAGGATCAAAGCTTTAGTTGAGTCTTACGTTCAGTTTTCCTCTCAGTAGGTTGGGATACAAATCTTACTAAGCCTTTGGGGATATCCTTAAATCACATTTTATTCCCCCGCCACCACGGATAATTTATGACCTTGTGTTGCAGTCCAGCTAAAAATGTAGCCAGGTTCAACATTTCTTTGGAGAGAGGTTGGCTCAGTGAATATTGAAGCTGAGTATCTGTGGCCAAATTGTAGGCCAATATTTCCCACTGATGATTCATAATGTTTTGATGGCTTAGAGACGACCGTATTTTCTGTCTCAACTTAAAATCACCACGAGGAGAATCTCAGTTTATTTATTTATTTAATCGTTTATTTGGCAGGGACAATGCACAGTAATGAACACTTAAAACATTAAAATGTGTCAAGTGTAACAGTGCCAGATTTAGCTTTGAGCTAATTTCCATCCGCAGTCCCTCACATAAAACATTCAAGAAGTTTACATTTTACAAACATAGCAAAAACAAAATACATGATATGCAAAAAGTGCAAAAAAGCAAGAGCAGCATACACAAGTATTTATGACATGCTAATACAATATAGCAGCAACCACATATCAAGTGCAAGAGAAGATACAAGAGATACATAAAGTGCAGGGGGAGATACCCCTGTATTAAAGTGCATTTAGTAGTGATTGCACGTCTGCTTGTTTCTCAACCATTCTTTGAGTTGACCTTTGAAACTATTGAGAGTGGGACAATCCCGTATCTCAGTTGGGAGGCTATTCCACAATGAGCTGCCTTTAATGGAAAGGACATTTTGTCCAAAAGTGGTCCGTCTGCGGTGGACTTCACAGTCTCCTCCGGTTTCTGACCTAGTGCAGCGTCCAGTGTGTTTTTTGTGGATGAATTCCCCTAAGGGGGGGGGGGGGGGGGGGGGGGCAGTCCATGTAAACATTTATAAATAAAGCACATACTTTTAAAAGACTTAAAATTGTCAAAGCTCAAGAAATTGTGTTTTTCAAGGATGGTACAGTGGTGGTATGAATTAGGCTTTCTGTCAAACACCTTGATAGCTCTCTTGTACAGCTGTTCTATTGGTTTCAGGTTTGTGGCACAAGCAAATGACCAGTTTGTAAAACGGTATGACTTTGCAGCATTGACAGTTAAGAAGGGTCTAATTTGTTTAACATTTTGCAAGTTGAATTTAATAGTATTGGATACTTTCTTGATATGTTTCTTAAAAGTCAAGTTCGAGTCCAGTATGACTCCAAGATACTTGAAGTGGGAGACTAGTTCTATTTCTGCTCTGTTTAAAAACACGTTGGATCCTTCGATTTTGACTGGTCGTTTACTGAACATCATGCATACTGTTTTTTTTACATTTAACTGTAAGCAATTGTTGTTCAGCCAGTGTTGAACCTTTTCCAAAGCATTAGAGAGACAAGATGCGATCATTTAAATGCAGTTAAATGCATGCTGATAAGTCCATGATCCTATTAATAACAGGTGTTTACAAATACAATTCACACACACACACACACACACACACACACACACACACACACACACACACACACACACACACACACACACACACACACACACACAGCGTTAATATCTCTGTTTAAGCTCTTCTTATCTTTCACATGTATTTAAAAAACAATCAATCTTTTTAAGTGGGTTCACCTTTTGTTTGTCTGACTTGCCTTTGAGAAAGTCTGCACTTTCACTTCTTCTCTGATTAGCATGCAGCTTTAATAGCATTCCCCAAACAGATTGTAAAATTGTCGTGGCAGTCATTGAGAAATACAGAAGCTGAAACATGTTTGAAAAGGAATAATAAATAAGATCATTTGGCTTAAGTTCTTCAGGAATGCAGACTCCGGACACTCATTTCTTATCAGTTAAATCCAAGACTAGATTACCAACGGTCCGGACCATCATCAGGGGCCTCACACCCCTAGGGGTCCTAAACCCTTAGAGGTCCGCAGGAAGAGGCCCAACAGCAAGTGTTTGCCCTGGGGGCCCCTGAAAGGTTAATCTGACCATGGATGAATCTGTTTTCATCTGGAAGAAATATGGAAAACACACTAATATGTATCTCAATCCCAATATACTGCACTCTAACAGATCTGGTGAATATAACTTTATAATGTAATGAAATATTTTCTCTTTTAAACAAGATAATAATTATCCAATATAATGTTTTTGTTTCATGTTTCATAATTATAACGGCTTTGCAGGCCTGACTGGTTAGAGCTGATTGCTAAGAGGAGGAAAAATGTCATTTATAAAATCAGATGCCAGATTATTTTTAGTGACAAGAAAGCACACAACGTTTTTTTTTAACAACAAGTGTTTTATTTACTTAAAAAAGTGACACATAATACATTATCCATTAGAAAAAAAATACTACAGGCACATAGAGTTTACAAAAAATGGCTCGTCATAGAATACTGATATGGGAAGATATTTCGGCACACTTCCTCCTCGACTTGTGTGTTGGGGTCAAACAAACTAGAGAATTTGAAAGTGACACTAACTGACCCGTTACCACAATCCTCATTGGTATTTCACATTAACACAAAAACGACCTACACTATATATTTTTTTACAGGAGCATAAACATGTACAATGAAATTAAGTGATTGTGACTGCAGGGGACTATTTCGTCGTCATCTCCACATTAGCGTCGTTGCCTCCGTTAACATCATAATCTCCAACTGGCCCGCTGACCAGGACCTTCATGCGATTGGGAAAGTCATCGTATTTCGGGGACAGCAGGAAGTCGTAGACGAGAGCGGCTGCAACACCGCCACACATTGGCCCCACCCAGTACACCTGCAATGGAAAACTCTGATGAGTCTCTGCTTTGGCATTGGTTAACACCTGACATGCCTAAAACTGGCGTTATCTCAGAAAGATAATCAAGTTCAAAAGGTTTACTTTTATCGATATCTCAGCTAATTGTGAAACAATAGGAACACCATAACTGATTAACTCATGAAAACCGGTTCACAGGTAATGGAATCATCAGTCTCTTTTGGGTTCATTGAGTTATCTCAGCTTGACATGTAATATGCATGCGGAAAAATGTGAGGCACACGTAAAGAGCTTTTGTGCTTCCATCTCTGACTTACCCAGTGGTCCGTGAAATTGTTCAGGATCAAAGCCGGACCAAAGGAGCGGGCGGGATTGATGCCACAGCCTGTGTAGCTGATCTGTACTCAACAACAAAAAGACAGCATGAGAGGATATCTTCAGCTACATGGTCTGGTGGTATTATAGAGTAGGGGGTGAGGGGTATTAGCTTCAACAATAGCAATAGATTACATTTGTTTCACTCCATCATGTCTGTTTACATACTGTGCCTAATTCTAGATAAACTGCTTTTGGAGATGGTTGTGAGGTACTTACAGCTGCCAAGTGTCCCAGGCATACTGAGAGGCCAATGGCCAGGGGTGCTGAGCCGGTGACATCACGCCGCCTTTTATCAGTGACTGCAATGACACACAGCACAAGCTGGAAGGTTGCCAGGAGCTCAATGCCCACACCTTGACTGGGAGTGACACCGTTGAGCTGTGAGAGTTAGAGAGGATCCAAAACAAAAACAGTTGATCAGTCTGTGTCAGTTAGACGGATTGTTTCCCGTCAGGATAACTTCCCATTTAGTAGCTGCTGGCATCGCCCAGCAAGTCTGACAGCAGTTTGGCACAGGCTCTAAAGTGCCACATGGAAAACCTGATCAGTGTTATTCAGCTGTGGCACACCGTGTATGGGGCAGAACAGTTTCTCCTAAGTGAGCAGATATCATGCCTTTGCACTCAATAGCTTTTTGACAAGGATGCAGCTGATGGTACATATTACAGATATCAGAGAGAGGAGTGTAGCGGTTTTATTGTGCAAAACCCCACGTTTACCAAAACAGCTGAGAATAAGAGTTGACATTGCAGATTTTCCTTTGCAGCTGTTGCAGTTAGAAATGCTTAAACCATGTGTCACCATTCAATATTAAGCAGTGACAGAATGCACAAAAAACAACACCAAATTAAGTGCATACATCCTCAGTTTTCCCTGGGTGGTTAACATCAAAAATGTGAAGGCACTTTAAACATATCCTGTTCAATCACATCGCAGTGCATCACATTCTCTGGAAGTGTTGGAGGTTAGACTTCCCAAATTTGACATATTATCACATGTTCTGTCAACAGCATTTACACAACATGTACTTACAGAGTTGAGCCCCAGTGCATCAGTAGTATTTGGACGTGCTCCATACACAATGCCACTGGCCAGAGCAGAGCCCAGCATCTGCGCCACAATGTACATGACGGCCTTCAACACGCTGATCTGGCAGCTGGCCAGCATCCCGAGGGTGACTGCAGGATTCAGGTGGGCTCCACTGATGTGACCCAAACTCTGAGCCAGCGTGGCAATGGCCAGTCCGAAGGCCAGCGACACCTTCACCTCCTGGTCTGGGTTGGAGTTGTTCTTGTTCCCAATAGCTGTTGAGATGCTGAGGAAAATGAAAAGGGTCATGCCAACCAGTTCAGCCAGCACGGCCCTCCAGAAATCCTTGCTCTTCAACTCTCTCATGGTGGTAGGCAGAGTGGCTGTCTGGCTGTGGGTTCGAACTCTGAAAAGTGTATGTACTCACAAACAACTGCGGCAGGCTGCATATATAAGGCCTGGGCTGATAATGGTCAGTGGGAGGGCTTTAAAAAAAAAACTGAAAGAGAGGGTCACACTGAATTAATGAGAAATCCAAAAGACTGGTCTCTCACTTCCCTCCCTCTGCTCCCTCACCCTCCCTCCTCCTCCTCTCCCTGTCCTCCAACCCCTCTCCCAGTTCCTCCCTGCACCACTCTCTGGTCTTTGGACTTTTGTGAGTAATAGAATTTGGTCCTGAAATAGCTGAATCCAAAGGTAGAGTTTCCACTCACACAAGCATTAACAGTTTTACTGCAGACACTCTTATTGGTAAACATTTTCACTTTAATCAAAATTTATTTTAAGCATTTTAAGTGTAATTTGTCCATTTGAAAAACAGTATCAACTTTGTTTAATTGTATCTTGTGCTCCTGGAGACTTAATAACACCTCGGGTCAGTGACAGCACATAAGGGAGAGCCAGAGAAAAGCCAGGCAACTCCCAAATAGTCCCTTCAGGTCTCTCCCTTCCTTTCACAGACAAACTTTTACAAGACCACGCAAAAAACATTTGACATGCAAGCTCTGAGACACACTTGGAGACAAAGAGCTAGAATCAAAATACAATTCATAGTATAAAACACACAATGCTTTCCTGCCAGTATTACACAAAATAACAAAACACAAAAACAAGCTTTTTTTTATGTACTGTATGTATATATAGCTTAATAGAGGAGACACATTTTACGAACAAACAAAAACGACATGCTAATGTTTAGGTAGAAAAGGAACACATTTCTAGTGTATGGAGCAACTATACCTCGAGAAAAAAGCGAGAATAAGTTCAAGCAGGGTAAAACATCAACTTTGAGAAATAAGCTGTCTGTTGCACCTGGCAGCAAACTACAGGGGGCGTGACGACAAAAAGCAGCCGGGACACTGTCCAATCCGTCATGGAATTTACCTGCTACCGTGGGTGTCTTAGTTAACGTTTGACATATTTAATAACTCCATTATTGTTTTAATCCAGAGCCCTATTCTGTGAGAAAATGACATAATATATGTTTAAGGGTTTACATTTGTAAGTATTTGAAGTGTCCGATTTAACTCAAACAAATACATTTAACTGTTTCACAAGAAAAAAAAAAATCATTTCCACTCATGTTAGGATGCTTATGAATGATTGACCTTAAATATGATACATATACTTGAGGAGTGATACATTCCAGGACAGGAATGGCCTGAGGACAAAATTAAGAAATAGTGGTATGATAAAAACACTGATTAAGTGTACGCTGGGGTGGTGAAAGTTTGTTCATGTGGGATTTGCAACCGTGCAGTATGTTCTCATTTTGTCGTTTAAGCGTCAGTCCCTTTAACAGCCTGTGCTCCTGCTGACATGACAGAGAAGGTTGAAAAGTAATGACTAACTAACATTTAAAAGAGAAAACTCGATGGCTGATAAAAGAGCTAATAAATTATTTATTAATCGGCATTTGTCACATTTCAATGGTCACATTTGGTGAATATTTGATATGTCTAACTCCACTTCCGTCACTTTTATGATATTAATTCAGGTATGAAATGAATTTTTAACAGATATCACCCTGAGGTGAGCTAACCAAAAGCAATCAGGAACTTGTTGGACATAATTAAGATCCAAATTAAAAAATGTCAGAGAATATGGATCACATTTTGGATGGAAAATGCCAAATCACATGTAGGATGGGTTAATATAATATAGTGTGCAATGTTTAACTGTGAGACGTAACCTACAGTTCTGTATTTTTGCACATTATAACATTTTTGGTTTTACATCTGTGAAAGCGCTAATGTAGGAGTCTGCAGTTTTGTCATTAACTCTATGGAGACTTAGTTAACATTTTAAGCTGAGGTAACCAAGATTATCTCCCCCAATAATAGATATGCATGATCATCAAGATAACTTCCATAGAGCAAAAAAAACAAACATGTTAACTTTAATTAATTGAGGCACCTGAATGTTCTGTCCTCAAAAAACAAGTACAAGTGTGATCATTTACAAAAGAAGCATGAGTCAGCTAAGTCTTAAATGCCTCAGAAATTGTGTTCTAGAAATAATTGGAATAGCCCACTTTTGTTTTTATTGATGATTAACCTACACTAACGTCTTCTGTACCCAACAACTTTAAGGATGTTGGATGAAGGGAAGTGGTTCTCAAACTTTTTCCGTCAGGCCTCCCTTTGGAGAAAAAAAAAAAGTCCGGCCCCCCCAACACAAATAGTCCCGTAATGGGCCAAGTTAACATTTATTGAAATACATCACTATGAACGTGAGCATTCCTTTAAAAAAAAAAAGAAAAATCACTTTGCTAGAACAGTGATAATAAAACAATGCTCCATAAGTCTGTGTGCTCAACAAAATAAATACATAATACAATTGTGCAATCCCTTTGCTAGAACAATAAGTTATAATACTTTGCCACTTTGCAATCTGTGCAAAGAAATGAAAAGAAAGAAAATGCTGATATTTGGCAAAAAAGTGTGTCTTATCATTAGTGGCTGCAATGAGCCTGTTTTGCACTGCACATTTCTTCAAAACGGGGTTGCAGGCTCAGTGGCGGCGCCAGATATTTTCTTTTGGGGGTGCTGTGGGGTAGCTTGACGTTTCATAGAGGGTGCTCAAACATTTAGGGTTTCCCATCAATGTACCGGTCGCTACAGTAGAATTTTGTACTGCAACAATCCCCACGCAAATACACAATGTACCCGCGACTGTTACAATGAAGGCTCGATAATCAGCTCACGGCATATAGGTGTAAGCAGGGGTAAAGTGCTATTTTTATAAGTGGGGAGTGGACCTAACCTCCTCTAGGGGGGGTCCGGGGGCATGCTCCCCCGGGAAGATTTAAAAAAAAAATATTGAAGTTAAATGTATCAATCTGGTGCACTTTGAGAGCAAAATGAAGAGATCTATGGATACATCTCTCAACACCCATATGAAACAGAACTGTTAACATATTTACTTTTTCTTTATGGATATTTTACAAATCACTCCCCTTTTAAACTCTATTCTTGTTTTACTGTCATAGTATTTCATAACTGTTTTTCATTTATTCTCTTATTTTTTTTATACCTATAATGATCATATAAACGTGTGCCTCAGAAATAATTGTTTATATTAATCGTGACCAAAACGTTTAGAGTTTAGATTACCCACTGAGATAACTAATCTCAGTGGGTAATCTAAACACTGAGAGAGTCCTTTACTTCACCTGAGGTTACCTGAGCCTCTCAGTCTGACAGGCGAGAGTTCTCCCTCCACCTTGTTGTTGAAAAAGCTCCTTATATCCGTTAGCGTAACAAACAAACAAACAAACAAACAAACAAACAAACTCTCTCTTCTCTCCTCTTCTCC